CCATACTCATTCTTAACATTAACATTGCCACCGGAACGTAAAATGATTTCCACAACTTCTAAGCTTGCCATTCTAGAAGCGTGCATTAGCGCCGTTTCCTTGGATTTGTCTTCAAGATTCACATCTGCACCAGCCTTTATAAGAGCTTCCGTGATTGCCAACCTCTTTCCAACACTGTACCATAACGGAGTTCTTCCGTAGCCATCGGAAGCATTTACATCGACCAATTCTTTGACTGTATCTACATTCTCTGCTTCGATGGCCTTATACATGTAAATAAAACTTTCATCTATACCACCCTTATGATATCCTAGAAAGAAATTTATAATGTATTAGTGATAAAGAATCATATCAATGAAAATAACAAATGAAAATAAAAATAATAAAAAAAGTAAATAAATAAGATCCAATATGGTGTAATCTAGAATCCTTGCAAAGCTTTGCTTTGGAATTAGGAATCGAGGGACACTACGAATTCCACGTTATGGGACCCCTCGAGCGAAGTGTAAAATAATGCAAAYTAAAMATAGTACTATGTTGTATCAAAAATATATCTTTCCTCACCTTTTAGACGATCGCTTGCTTTTTTATAATCATCTACAGAAATCGTCACAGATAACTCTAACTTTCTTTCCATTTTCTTAATGCGTTCGTCGGTTACAATCGCTTCCTTTAGATCCTCCCTAAGTTGTCCCTCCGCGTACCTTAATAAATTAATCTCAGTCTTAGAATTGACTACTCTGCAGGCTGACATTSGCACATTCTCGTACCCAGATCCTTCTCAGTTTCCGAACGGAAAATCGAAGCCTCCGGTTGGAGACGATATGGGAAGACACAGAATCTGGATGCATTGTGAACTTTTAAACCAATCAAATCAAAGAATCATTCGTTTCCAACCAGTCTTCGATTTTCTCATGGCAAAAGAAAGTGAGCTAAGTTATAACATTTTATCTTGCTCATGGTTGGGAAACTGGGACGAAGCTCCTAGGGACGAAAATGACATTAGCAGTGTTTGCTTTTAATAGTCCCCTTCACAGTTCCCTACGCCAACCTAAAAGATAGCCGTGCCTTTCAAAAATCAATCCAAAAGAACATGTAAGATATTTTAAATATAGTTTTCTGTGWTGTGAAGTTTGAGAGTAGGCCGGGTTGATTGATAGTTATTGTTGACGTAGACTATTTTTGCCKAGAAGTTTTCAATTTACTTAAATCAATTGAAATTTCTATATTAAGTTTTAACCTATTAATGATATGCATGAAAAAATTACTAAATTCTGATTGGCTGATAACATCTCAATTAATTCTTAATTCAGTGCAATTACATTTCTTGAGCAGTGCAAAAAGCTGCAATATCAGTGCAATTACAAACAAAATTTGCGCTTTTGATTGGCTAAGAAACAAAAGAAATGTTTTCTGCCAATAAGGATCAAGCTTTCTTTGTAGCTGAAAACGTTTCTCAAGAATCCAAGATGGCGGACACTTCCACATCGACAACAAAGAATTGAAAAAACTACTCAAAAACTATCAACAAGTGCTTAAAAGAAATAACAAAAGCTTTCTCACTGAAGAATTGGACTAGGATTTTGTATTTGTGAAGTTTCAAGCTTGCTCGTTGCCATTTCAAGACGATTTTGCATCGAAAATAGCGAAGCATTTTAGCTAAGAGAAAATGGTATACCATCGAGTCGCGATTTTTCCCTTACCTTTTCCAAAGCAATTCCAAGCCTTGTAAGGAACCAATCTCCACTACTATTTTGAATGAGCCTGGTAGAATAGCAAGAACACAAGCAACCGCACCGGTGGCCAAGGAAGCTGGTATAATAGCCCCTTGGACAAGACGTATCACTGTTTCAGGATCATCCCTATAGCGGCTTAGAAAGTATGCACTTCCAGCAGCCCAAGCGACGACAGTCCCCCCTGCTACAGCTGYCTTCACGATTCCATTTATAGTTATGCTCGCTAGTGAAAAGAAACAAATGTATTTGCCTTATATTATTTTTATTTTTTTTAATTTTTTTTCGATGCAAGACTACTAAGCCATCTGAGGATGAAGGGTATCAGTAAGGTGTGGCCTGAGGTTTCTGTTCTAGAAGGAGAAGGATACAATATATAATGATACAGACACGAACGTACGTTA